AGGTTTGTGTTGTGTGTTCCCCAGTTGTGTTAGTTTCCCATAACTTTAACAATCTGGAATGCATAAAAATACAGGTTTATCTCAAAAAACTTAATTTCAGCAAAGAAATCTGGAAATACTACATTAGACCATCAAGTGATCACTAATTAGTCTGTGTTCTGTCCTTCCCACTGGCCCAATTAAATATGGAAAAACTGGCCATGTGATATGAAATCTGATTGGTCCACTGAGTTGGCCACTATCCTCTGGAAAATTATCAAGAAAATTTTGTTTGGGAAGGTAAAGTACCTGGATTAGAATCATAACTCTGCCAGTACTTAAGCCATAAAACCTCAAAGCAAGTTACTTAACCTTTCTGAGGATGTTTCTTTACCGGGCGTGTATATCAGAAATGACATATGTAAAGTAACTGACATGTGGCAGAAGTTCAGCAAGTAAAAGCTATCGTTTCTATCTTAACTGAAAATTTCAGTTTACTATCTGATTGGCAGTGTACTGAAAAGATAAGTGTCCTAAATTAAACTCAGAACTCAACCTAATCAACCTCCCTAAGGAACTACAGGCAGTACGTAGAAAACTGCACCCACTCCTCCCAGATTTTTACCAACACCAAAAGCAAACTTCATTTTTAAATTTATCAACCACTTTGCTCTGTTTCTATTGGAACTCCTTTCCATGGGAAATAAGAAAATCAAAAGAACAGGTTTTTGTTTTTAAATATTACATTTGGACCACAGGAAATATTGAGCAGTATTTACTACGTCAACACGTTGACAGCTAAATGTGTTCACCAGCAGTGTGAAAATGTGATAAGCTCTCAACGGAATCATTACATAAACATAGTATTGTTTGCATAATTTAAGAACAGTCAAATAACTGGCAGCTTTAAGTCAAATGCATAGAATAATATTGCAACTTAAAAACCCCACATATTTTTTATTGATTCCAGAGAGGAAGGGGGAGGTGGAGAGAGAGAAACGTCAATGACAGAGAATCATCGATCGGCTGCCTCCTGTATGCCCCGCACGGGGGAGCGAGCCCGCAACACGGGCATGTGCCCCAGCCGCGAACCCAACCGTGCCCTCCTGGTTCATAGGTCGATGCTCAACCACTGAGCCATGCGGGCCGGGCAGTAGTGCAACTTTTGTTTAAAAAACAAAAAACAAGCTGGCACATTAAAAGCCAATATCAGAATTTCAACGCCGGCTTTGGAGCATCAAAAGGTCTCTTTCTTAATGAAGTTCCAGCCTTGCCCCTCTTCCAACTTTCCCCTTAAAACACAAGAAGGGGAAGAGCCGGCCCACATGACACAAAGTACAGACTGTGTCTCAGACCCAACCCATCTCCTCACGGGCCGCTCTGCACCCAAACCACCTGCAGGCCCTCACCCTGGCGGAGCCCCTTCCCACCCACCCGGACCTCCACCGGGCGTGCACTTCCGACGGGAGCGGAGGACGGGGACAAACCGGCTCCAGCACGAGCCTGTAAGTCGGAGCCCTGAGGACCGACTACGGGGAGGTCATCTTCCCCACCCGCAGGGCGTGGGGCCGGGGAGGACCCCGCTAAGGGGAACCCTTTCCGAGGACCTCCAGAGCGAAACCAACCCAGGGAGGGAGCGAGCGGGAAGGAGACCCGCCCCGCGCCCTCGCTCCCCTCCACACGCGCGCCTACTTTGTTGTTGTCCCCTGGGCCTCGAGAGTCTCCGGTTCAGACATTCTAACGGCACGTTATCTTTGGTTCCCCTCCCCGAAGGGATATCAAGTTGGGCGGGGGCTCCCGCGAACTCCGACCCGGCGCTTTCGAGAAGGGTAAGGGAAGGGGGTGGGGGCGCCCGCTTCCCCCATTGAAGACGCTCAGCGCGGTTCCCCGTCCTCTCGAACACGCTCTCCTGGGGCGATACCCCAAAACGCGCCTCTCCGGGATCCGCCGCCGCCAGTCACCTCGGGGCTTCCCTCCGGCCTCCCCCTGGGAACTTCCTCCTCGCGGCTCCGCTAGGCCCCAGAACCTGGCGGCGCGCAAGGATTAGCCTGCAGGCCCCGCCAGGTAGGCAGGCGGACGGCGAGGTACCGTTCGGGCCAATTACCGCCGCCATTTTCCGGCGACCGTCGCCGCCGCGTAGGGGGGACGATCCCGAAGGAGGAGACTGCGCAGGGGCGCACCGGTCTCCGCCGCAAGGAAGGGGGTACCCTCCGCTGGCACCGAGGACCTTCAGAATCTTCGATGCCTCCCCTCCGTGGCCACCCCGCCCCGAATTTAGGCCTCTTGGCGGGCCTTCGCGGTAAGGCCCTCAGTTCACCACAGATCCCCGCGCTTCTACTTACGCGGAAGAATCCCGCGTCCATCTTGCTGCCTCGCTCGGAGATCGCTCCCTATCCCAAGATGCACCGCGCCGCCGCGACGGAGGGCGGGACCGACTGGGAGAGCGGAGCGCCGGGACGCAAAGCGCGCCGCTCCACTCGCCCCTCCAGTGCACACGAGGCCGCGCTTGCTCAGTGCGGGGAGCTCCCGCCTAAGGTGCGCACGCGCGCAGCGGGCGGGCGGCTGCCGGGCTCCGCGGCTCCCCAGCAGCCAATCGGGGGTGAGAGCCTCGCGACCGCAACCAATGGGAGCAAGAGAAAGTCCCCGCCCTACAAATCCTTTTGTGGCGCGTGATCAGCCGCGTTCGCGCAGTGTGACTTGACTCCTCCTCCGACCCGTAGTGTGGGAGGCCTCCTGCCCGGAGGTTCCAGGGAGCAATTGAAGAGAAAGGCTGTTACCTCAGAGTGACGCTAGGAAGAGGCGGCGCGTTCGCAGAAGAGGAGCCTGCGGCGGCCTCCGTCGTGACAAAAGTTGTCAATGTACCGCTTTTACGAGTTGACCCGTTTTTAAGGTCGGCTCCAAAAAAGTAGTCGAGCTCTGTAGTACAGTGAAACCTGCGTTCCGACCCAGTTCCAGGGGCTTTCCCCTGTCTCCACACAACTCTGGTTTTCTGGAAGAAGCTGGAAACGTCCTTTAGATGAGTTTCGGTTTTGATTTCCGGGGAACCAAGCTAACGGGCAGGAAGTTGGCGAGCGCCGTGGCCCTCGGGCGGCGAGTTGGGCCGGGCATCCCGGTCGGCCGGCTGGCCCGGTTCGGCCTCCTCCGGGCCCCGCTCTGGCTGCGAGGGCCTGAGGCATTGGGTCCATTTTGCCAGAATTCCACCCAGTGCTTTCTTTTTTTCCCGGGGGAAAGCACGTGTCCCTTCTCTGGCCATCTTTTTTTAAGGATCACACCCCTCACCCTCCCTTTCCTGCCTGATCCTCGCCGCACGTCACACACCTGGAACCAGCCGCCTGCTGACGGCTCCCAGCCCCTCCAGCCCCGACTTCCTCCCGAACTCCACCTCCGCACAGGCACCGTCCCGCTCGGTGTTCCCACTGGAGAGGTGGTGGCACCAACACCCTGAGCAGAAGCTGGACCCCGGTTCCCCCCCGCCCCGCACCCCACCCGCTCCTCCCAGCCTTTCCTGCCTCGCAGGATGGCGGTCTCTCTCCTTTTCTTTGGGACACAGCCTTGGTGTCATTCTTGCCTCGTCCTGCTCTTAGATCCCACTGCCGAACCACCCAGAAACCCACGCTGCTGTTCAGGGCACTGTCTCCTGCCGGCACTGGCCTCCATCTGTTCTGTTGTTTTGTTTTGTTTTGTTCTTAAATATGTTTTTATTGATTTTGAGAGAGAGAGGGGAAGGAGAGGGAGAGAGAAACCTCAGATGATGGAGAAACATGGACCAGCTGCCTCCCTGCTGGGAATCAAACCTGAAACCTGGGCCTGGGCCCTGGTCAGGAATGGAGCCCGGACCTCCTGGTGCATGGGGCCACCCCAGCTAGGGCCACCCCTCTTCCTAACGCCGCCGTCAGAGCGGCCCCGTCAGCAAACCTTCCACATGCCACTCTTGAGCTCAGAACCCCCTGATGGCGCCTCGCTTTCTCAGCTGAAGTCAAATTCGCCCGGGCGCACCCCTTCCCGCGCGTCTTTGACTTCCCCTCCCAGTGCCCTGACGCGATCCCCTGAGCTTCCTCAGCTGCTCCTTCCTCAAAACCTTCGTGCCGGCCATGACTTCTGCCCGGAATGCTCTACCCTAGGTATCTGCTTGGCAAACGTCAGGTTTTCACCCCGATGTCGCCACCTCAGCGAGACCTACCCTGACTGCCCGGTTGGAAGGTGCTCGCATCCGCTCTCTACCCCCGATGCCGCTTAATCTACTCTCTTTGCCGTGGCGTGATCGCCTAATGTGCGTTTACCTATGTTTGTTTGTTTGTGTGTTTACCTGTTTTTAATGTCTGTTTACTGTCTGTTCTCCACCCTACCACGTAAGCTCCCTAAAGTCAGGGCCTTTTGTCTCCTTTGTTCTCCGCTGTGTCCCTAGCGCCTAGAAGAGGGTCTGGTGCACCGTGCGCACAGGCCCCACAGAATGTGCTGACCGAATGGAAACTTTGTCAGCGGGTCAGAGCTGGGGAAGTGACTGGCCTCCGCAGAACAAGCCCCGTGGCCAGATGGGGTGATGGAATCGCCGATCCCCACATCTCCCTGTTCTCTGCGGTTCTGCTCCCTCTTTCTGTCGTGTCCTTCCTTCACTCTGTGTTCGTTTGCTGCCAGTGCTGAACGTGCCGGTTCGATGATTGACTTTTCTGTTTTCCCTTGACGAAGGTGATCGTTCTCTCCTGGTTTCAACTACTAGTTCATGTCCCAAACCTGTACATCTAAAGCATAGGTCTGCCCCAGAGCTGTATTTTAACTTCCTGCTGACGCTCACTTGGGTGTCCTCCTGAAGGCACCTGAGACTCAACATGTCCCCAAACCAGTGGAACTTTCTCCAGTTGCCCCAACCCTGTTTCTCAATGAATGAGCCCACCGTTCTCCCTGTCCTTATTCTTTTCTCCTCCTCAAAATCTACAACCACCAAATCTTGCCTTTTTTTTGCCTCTCTTAATACTTGATACTTTGTAAATATGTCAACTTCCTTCTAGCCCTATTATCTCTAATCTAGGCAAAATAGATTATTGTCTGAGTCAATGCAACAACCTCGAAACCGTTTTCCCAGAAAGGGTTGATGTCTCCACCCTATGTCCAGAGTGACTATCTAAGATAATCCTGATCCTTTCACTTCCCAGTTTTAAATCCTTCAGTTTAAATTCCCCATTGTCATTCAGAGGAAGCCCAAACTGGTGCAGCCATTATGGAAAACTATGGAGTTTTCTCAAACTAGAACTGCCATTTGACCCAGTGATCCCACTTCTAGGAATGTAGCCTAAGAATCCCGAAACACCAATTAGAAAGAATATATGCACCCCTATGTTCATAGCAGTGCTATTTACAATAGTTAAGGTCTAGAAACAGCCTAGTAGATGAGTGGATAAAAAAAATGTGGTGTGTTTACACAAGGGAATACTATGTAACTGTGAAAAAGAAGAAATCTCTTACCCCCTTTATATTTTTTTTATTGACTTCAGAGAGGATAGGAGAGGGAGAGAGAGATTAATGAGAACCATCGATTGGCTGCCTCCTGCCCACTCCACACTGAAAGGGCGAGTAGTCGCAGGGCCTGACCATGCTGCTGGTGGCCTCGGGCACCGACTCCCCAGCCCACAGCGGGAGCCCGGCGCAGGCTGCCACCCGCCCGCCGCCCCCGGCGGCGCCAGGGTGGGGCGTGTGCCCTCGCCCGAGGAGATGGAGGAGGAGGCGATCGCCAGCGCCCCCGGGAACTAGACGGAGGACATGGACTTCCTGTCTGGGCTGGAACTGGTCGATCTGCTGGACCCCCAGCAACCGGACTGGCCCCTGGAGCCTGGACTCAGCTCGCCCTTGGGGGGGCGAGGACTGCGCCCTCCATCTTGCCCTGGGTCCTCCATTTTTGGGGCGGCCACCATGTGCTCAGGAGAGTGCCTTCTTCCCGGAAGCCCAGGCCCCTGCTGGCCACGCCCAGGATTTCTTTAAACTAACCAATGACAACCAAGGGACGTGCACGCCAGAGAGATGACCACATCCTGTGTAACAAGACCCGACTCGCGCCTGGCCAATTGGCGGGGCCCACAGTCCCCTCCCCTGCCCTTACTATAAAACCCACAATCCCATCAGGCCTCGCTCTCTCTCAGCCACTGGGCTACCATTGCTTCGGTGAGTGTGGCAGGGGAGCCAAACCTAGGTTTGAAATGAATGACTCTTTGCTTTTGCATCGGACTGATGGGCTCCCTGTGGGGGTTCTTGGGAATCTTGAAATCTGGGCACAACACACACCAGGGGTTGAGCCCACAACCCCAGGCATGTGCCCTGACCAGGAATTGAACCGTGACTTCCTGGTTCATAGGTCAACCCTCAACTACTGAACCATGCTGGCTGGACTCTCTTACCCTTTGAGACAGCATGGAGGAACTTGGAGAGTATTATGCTAAGCGAAATAAGCCAGTCAGAGAAAGACAAGCATCACCTTATCTCACTCATATGTGGAATCTAATGAACAAAATAGACTCAGACATAGAAGCATGGAATAGACTGACCAATCTTGGAGGAAAGGGGGGTGGGGCAGGGAGAGATGAACTAAATTTATATGCACATATGCATAACCATGGACACAGACAATAGTGCAGTGAAGGTGGGGGTTGGGGGGACCTGGGAGGGGTGTGCAGGGCGAAGAGGATCAGTGGGAAAAAAGAGGGACATATGTAATACTTGTCAACAATAAAGATTTAGCCCTAGCTGGTTTGGCTCAGTGGATAGAGTATCGGCCTGCAGACCAAAGGGTCCTGGGATCGATGCTGGTCAAGGGCACATGCCCAGATTGGGGGTTCAATCCCCAGTAGGGGGCATGCAGGAGGATGCCGATCAATGATTCTCTGTCATCACCGATGTTTCTATATCTCTTTCCCTCTGAAATCAATAAAGATACATTAAAAAATAAAGATTTAAAAAAATTTGTTGAATGAGTGTATGAGTAAGAGTTTAAGGCTCAGTCACTAAAGGCAATCCTACCAGTGAGTGAGTCTATTCTTTGAAGTGTTATAACCACTGATTCTATCAAGAAGAGTCCACATTGGGGGGCAGGAAAAGCCTCCTGTTGCTTCTCCTCGCCTCCCCCCCCCCCAAAAAAGAGAAGAGTCCACATTGAAAAATCTGCTGAGGCAGCTTTTCCCCTGCTGAAAATCACCCCTACTGAAAATAGAACATCCCATAGGCAGGTACAGTTTTTGTAATTTTCTCATCACTTTCAGATTTTGCTATCATCTCCACTTTTGATTCTATCATTTGCCTCATCCTTTTAGCTCTTCTTTGTGCTTCCTAGGTAAAATGTAACCCCCAAACTCAAGTCTCTTCCCTGCCCCTTCTGAGGAGATGGAAGCCCGAGGAGGACCTGCAGGAAACAGTGCAATCACTTCACCTGGGTCTTTAAGTCTTTAATGTAGTGAGAAAGTGAATCAGGAGATTCACTGCTTTTTAAGAGTCATTTCTAATATTTCTTGTTCCCAAGTTGAGTAAAAGCCTACTCCT